TTGGCTTTTTATTATCCTGTTTTAACATCCCATAATCTGATTGACTTATCATCACTACCAGATGCTAAAGTAGTTCCATCAGGTGAGAAGCATACTGATAGAACTCCTTTTGAATGACCATCTAATTTGGCTTTTTATTCTCCAGTTTTAACATTCCATAATCTGATTGACTTATCATCACTACCAGATGCTAAAGTAGTTCCATCAGGTGAGAAGCATACTGAATATACCCAATGATTATGCCCATCTAATTAGGCTTTTTATTATCCTGTTTTAATATCCCATAATCTGATTGATTTATCACCACTACCAGATGCTAAAGTAGTTCCATCAGGTGAGAAGCATACTGATCGTACATAATCACTATGACCATCTAATTCGGCTTTTTTTTATCCTGTTTTAATATCCCATAATCTGATTGACTTATCATCACTACCAGATGCTAAAGTAGTTCCATCAGGTGAGATGCATACTGATCGTACATAACTACTATGACCATCTAATTTGGCTTTTTTTTATCCTGTTTTAACATCCCATAATCTGATTGACTTATCATGACTACCAGATGCTAAAATAATTCCTTCTGGGGAGAAGCATACTGAATATACCCAATGATTATGACCATCTAATTTGATTTTTTATTATCCTGTTTTAACATCCCATAATCTGATTGAGTTATCACTACTACCAGATGCTAAAGTAGTTCCATCTGGTGAGAAGCATACTGAATTTACATAAATACTATGACCATCTAATTTGGCTTTTTATTATCCTGTTTTAACATTCCATAATCTGATTGAGTTATCATTACTACCAGATGCTAAAGTAGTTCCATCTGGTGAGAAGCATACTGAATATACATAACTACTATGACCATCTAATTTGGCTTTTTATTATCCTGTTTTAACATCCCATAATCTGATTGACTTATCACCACTACCAGATGCTAAAGTAGTTCCATCTGGTGAGAAGCATACTGAATATACATAACTACTATGACCATCTAATTTGGCTTTTTATTATCCTGTTTTAACATCCCATAATCTGATTGACTTATCACCACTACCAGATGCTAAAGTAGTTCCATCTGGTGAGAAGCATACTGAATATACATAACTACTATGACCATCTAATTTGGCTTTTTATTATCCTGTTTTAACATCCCATAATCTGATTGACTTATCACCACTACCAGATGCTAAAGTAGTTCCATCTGGTGAGAAGCATACTGATTATACCCAATTACTATGACCATCTAATTTGGCTTTTTATTATCCTGTTTTAACATCCCATAATCTGATTGAGTTATCACCACTACCAGATGCTAAAGTAGTTCCATCTGGTGAGAAGCATACTGAATATACAGAACTACTATGACCATCTAATTTGGCTTTTTATTATCCTGTTTTAGCATCCCATAATCTGATTGACTAATCACCACTACCAGATGCTAAAGTAGTTCCATCTAGTGAGAAGGATACTGATGCGATAGATTTAGTATGACCATCTAATTTATTTATTTCTTGTACTTTTATATTCCTCCACTTACAGTTTAACAATAAAGCTCCATTTAGATTTACTCCACTAATATCAACATTTTCAAATTCTGATCCACTAAAATTACATCTAACAAAATTTGCGCCTATCAAACAACAATTCTTAATCCTAATGTTTTCAAAGCAATGGTTTGTCAGTTCAATTTTCAAACCTACCAATAAATTAAGTCCGTTTGATCCACATTAAATAAATTTTTCATCAACAGTTGTAAGTTAAACTAAAAATTTCAACAATTAGACTATTTAATCATCTTTTGATATTTTTTATATTAGATCTTTTCTAAATTTTTCATAAAAATCTTCACAATAATTTTTATGATTAAAGTCATGATCTTTAAGTTATTTTAATATATTCACTATTTTCTTTATATTATTTTTCATAACATCTTCTACATCGGCATTTTTTTAATTTATTGCTATTAAAATGGACTAAAAATAACGTATTAGATTTTCATCATCTGATAGAAATTTTAAACAGTCTGAAATGTTTTCTTTTCTAAGCATTTCCATTGTCACCTTGTATATTGATTAGTCCACATCTTTTGATGAAGCTAACAAATCGTACAAATCTTTTTTCCATTCCATTTTTTTGTTAAAATAAATATTATTGAATTTCTATTACTTTATATTAGGTTTTATATTATGAGTCAAAAATATCTTATGCATTTAAGTTTAGATAAAGACAAAACATAAAGAAAATGAGGATTTGAATATTATTGATGTAAAATCAACACATTTTCAACCATATGAACTTATGCAAAGCTTGGATCATTCAGAATATAGAGTTAAATAAATAACTAAATTTTGAAAAATTATATAAATAATTAATTAGTTTGATATATATTAATTGACTAGTAGAATTAAAGTTGAAGATAAATAAAAGGAGTATTCTAAAAAAATTTAAAGGAAAAAAGTAAATCATTTTCATATATAGCAGTTTGTTACATTAAATTAAAGGAGTGTGTAGATGTGTGATGAGCCTTTAAATTTTGATAATGAAAATGAAAAAGGTAGGGCATTCTGAATTAAAATAGATTTTTATTTTCCTAATTCAGATAATAAAAAAGAAATTCATTAGTATAGGTAGAATTCTAGAGAAAGTTATCAGTATATAAGGATGATTTTGAATGATATTTAATTGATATAAAATGTTTTAGTATTGATATGAAACTGAGAAGACAGTCTCTTTAGTCACAGAGTAAGAATAATGAATATGATAGGATGTTTGGGGTGGAGAACTTTTTTACTATATAACAAAGATCAACATTTGATTGAAATGTAGGCAGCCAAAATAATAAGATAAATATTTACAGCAGTAGCATATTTAAATGAACATAAATAATTCATGGAGATTTAAAACCTGAAAATTCTTATAAAAAAGTAAGAATGATGATAAATATTCAATAAAATTAGTTGATTTTTGATTGGCTAGATTTTTCAGATAGGATGATGTCATAACCTAACCAAATGGAAATCTCATTTATATGCTCCAGAGTAATATTCATATGAAGTTGATTATTGATTATTGGTCAATGGGAGTGATATTATATGTTATGATGTGTGGATAAACACCATTTTCAGGAAAAAATCCTTAAAAGATTATCATATTCGCATTTTCTAAAGCTGGATTCAAAGGAGCAAAATTGTAGGTGAGGTTAGGGATTAAATTTAGAAATTATTAGTTATGGAACCTAAGAGAAGATTTACTTTTAAATAAGCTTATGGTATAATAGTCATGAATTGATGAATTTAAAATTGCATCATGATGCAAAAAGGTTTAGAGAAAATTGTTAATGCATAATAAATAAAGAAAACAATTTTTGATTATGAAAATGAAATATTATTCTTATGCATTTTCAATATAACTTTTTATTATTTTATTATAAAAATTAATAAAGAAGATAAAAAAATATATAATAATAATAAATTCATGTATAAAATCATTAAGATAATTATTTTTCATTGGATAAAGGTGGTAATGGTATGATTTCATGATTGAAGGATTAACAGGATTTAAAAATATCAAGCATAAAGAATTTTGTAACACAATTGTTTAAAGCTATGGATATTGATTAAAGAGGATATGTAGATTATAATGGATTTTATTGAGGCATTTCTGATATGCCCAAAATTTTAAAATGCGAGATTTCTTGAAAATATATAATTTAGAAGGATAGATTAAGATACAAACTAAATATATAATTTAAATAAAAACAAATTAAATAAATTTATTATAATAATGAAAGAAGATCGAAAAAATGGATTGATGTATTTTTCCTACTGCAAATTATTTTATAAAGTATTTGTTAAACTGAGCGATAATGTTAAGGAAAGAACAAACAGAAGTTTAATTGGATATTTTATAAGCAAAGCATTTTATTATATTTAACATATACCAAACGAAGAATAAATTATAATACTAAACTTGTTCTGTATTAAAATGTTGAATGTTTAGAAGAAGACAGTATTAGCATTCTTGGTAATTTTTTTGGATTAAAGGTTGATTCCTTAAGAATAATTGAATTAAAAGTAAAAGCTCAAGATAGGATTAGAATTTGAAATATCAAAAACTTTTTAATTTAATTTTACCAATCCTTATTAACTTATAATTAATACAAAACCTATAAGTTCATTTTATTCTAATTGTATTATTTTAGAGCAGCAAATAAAATTCCTCTGATAATAAAGAAATCTGAGTAAATTATCTTACAGGTCATCAATTTAATACCCTGCCTAGTAAAAGTGTTAATAGAAGGGGAAGTAAATTTTCTTGTAACTAACTTAACAAATCAAATAATTGAAAAATTAAATGATTAATCAAAAATTTTTAATTTTTGGTTAAAAAACAATATACTTTCTACTCATCTGAAAGATATTAGCGTTTTAAGTAATGTTCTAGAAATTACTGCTAGTATAATAATGAATATTCTACTGGAAATAAAAGTTAGTGAAAAAATGTTGAGAATTTTTTTTAATTCCTTACCTTCTCATATTATTATTCATTCAAATTAGATTTGGCGTATCTTATTATGCAAGTATACTCTCTTGAACAAGAAATATTTTGCATAGATGTATTTGAATTTTATTTAATTATACATTTTTCATATCTATAAATTTTTAGGAATTTGAGTAATATAATAAATACAAGAGATGCGTATGCTGTCAATAGCTTTCCATTATTAGTAGATTTTTCTGCTACCCTATTAGTCAGAATTAAAGGTGTATTATTATAAGAACTATTATACTGAGGTTGCAATAAAAGAGTTTGTTCGTTGCTACTATTAATGGTAATCACCCAGAATAAATACCAATAACATATAAATTTTCTTCTAAGTCCTTACTCATATTATAGATAATTCCGCCAGGATTATCATTCAAGTTCACAAAAAACTTAAAGAAAAGTTTCCAGATCATCATAATTGCTGATTTATTTAAATTTTCAACCATTTAGTTTTGCATAAAATTTATATAAGGTAGAACATAATCTAAATTTGTATAAACAATAAAAATTAGTTAAAATGATAAATAAATGTTATTAAAATTTGAAAACTATGACACTGCAATTATTGGCATAGCTTGCTGTTTTCCACAAACAAAGAATATACAATTATATTGATTTAATTTATCCCAAAATAAGAAATCTATAATACTATTGAATATCTATTAATAAAGGGGATTGACAATAACTTTAATAGAAAATCCTAATTATATTTCAGTACAAGGTGTATTAGAATATGGACAGGTTTGATGCAGATTTTTTTTGGATTTACTTTACGAGAAAGAGAATTTATAACAAGGAGGTTTACTTACTATTCATAGAAAGCTATAGAAGATGCTGGTTATGTTGCTAAAAATTATAAGGACTAGTCAAAATCTTACTTAATCTTAGAAATTAACTTTAAGCTGGCGTTGTGTTTATGTTAGTACTACTTGCTCCTCATCTTTAAATGGTTACAAGAACATAAACGATTGAAATTTTTGATGGAAGATACACTATTAGTAACAATAGGCTTAAAAGCATGTTGAGGCCTCAATGAAAACAAATTGGGGATAAACAATTTTGCAATTGGCTTAATTACATGCTCATACAGGCGGAGTATTATAAGACTTAGTAGGAGCAAATGAAGAAATGATTTAATAAATGTAAGATGAATTGTAGAGGTTGAATATAATTATGAAGTTAGAACTAATGAACACAACTCATTATCATTGTTATATACTCAAGAAGTTTAAAGAAGTGTTATTACATTAGAGAATTTACTTTATCCAAGAAGAGAACAATTAATGGGATAAATCTAATAATTGATTGATAACTAAGAATTCAATAAAAAAACTGTTGATGAAGGAACCTTGATCAAGGAATAAGAACATGAAGCATTCGAAACTTAAGTTGCTGGATTAAATGATGCAGTTGGTGCTACTGTTGATGCATTAAATTTATTGAGCACCTTTACAATACTAGCACTAAATGAATGAACTTATTTTATTAATAAAAATAAATATTATATAAAAATATAGCACCAATAAATGTAGAAAGTTAAGAATTGTATTGAATGAATTATAAAAAAAGCAAGCAGAAATTCTTACAAAAAGGAAAACTATAAAAAAAGAAAATTAAGAATTTTTCATTTTAGTTTTGTTTGATAATTTTATAAATTAGAAGATAAGGTTACAAAAAAATAAAATTAATGATGAAAAAGAATACGTAGTTATTATTGTTAGATTGTATATATAAACCTTGTTGGTGCAAAAAAAGAACGCGCAGAAAAGTAAAAGTAGCTTGATGAACAAATATCAAAGGTGAAGGATATACGTTTACCAAAATCTTTATTAGGAAATCATCAGTAAAAAACCAAAAAAAATTTGATATTTGAGATATAGAAAGTATATATTTTAATTAATCAATTTTAATTAGTTAGATATATAAATAGAGACAAATAAACTTTTATATGAAAAAGATAAGTAGATTTTATAAACTCTCTTAAGAGAGATTAAAATATTTTTATATTTTATATAAGTTTTTTAGAAAAAGAAGTATTAGTTGGTAAATGAAAGAAAGTAATTAGAGTGAGATTTAGCTGCTGATGAATATAAAAGATAAGTATTAAATAAAATAATATATTTTAGATTCTATTAAATTAAAATAATGAGGGATTTTTTTATTTAAATGTAAATTTTATGATGAATCATATTAGAACATATCCTCATATTTTAGGATAACCAGCTAAAAGCAACGAGGTATGAATTCTCTTAAAGAATATATTAATGAAAAATTTAATGTAAAATATTGATTAGTAATAAAAATAGGAAATGGAAAAGATTTAAGAGCAGAAATTATTGAGATCATATACTAATTTCACAGCATCGTAATTTAAAAGTTGAAGGAATAATAACTTTTAGAGGACTACGAAAAGTTCATGTTCAGAAAGTGAAGAGTCATAAGAGAAAAAGAAGGATGAAGGTAAGAACAATGAAAAATTATAGATAATATTAAATAAGATTTAGTTTAATAAATATTAAAATATCTTGTGTATTTATTATAAGTAATTTAAATAAAAACTTGATATTTTATCTATAAAAAGGTCTAGTTGATAGGAAAGTATTTATGATATTTACTAATTAATTTTTTCATTAATCATAAATTTTTGGTTCTCATGATGATTCTGAATATATTGAACAGAAAAAGTCTGAAAAAGATAGTAAGGAACATAAAAATTAATTAATTATTATATTAAAATTAAATATAAATATTTTATTTAAACTATATTAAAAATATACAAAAAAATTTTCAAAAGTTATAATTACTTATATTATATAAAATAAAGATATTGGACTAAAAATAATGAATGATGAATAATTTGAAGAATTTGTAAACATATTAAAAGATAAAAAAATATTAAATCACAAAATATTAAATAACTTAAAGATTTTTGGGTTAAAAAAATGAAGAGAAAAGTTAATAATTTAATAAAACATTCAGAATGTTTAAGTATATTTTNTCATCAGTAAAAAACCAAAAAAAATTTGATATTTGAGATATAGAAAGTATATATTTTAATTAATCAATTTTAATTAGTTAGATATATAAATAGAGACAAATAAACTTTTATATGAAAAAGATAAGTAGATTTTATAAACTCTCTTAAGAGAGATTAAAATATTTTTATATTTTATATAAGTTTTTTAGAAAAAGAAGTATTAGTTGGTAAATGAAAGAAAGTAATTAGAGTGAGATTTAGCTGCTGATGAATATAAAAGATAAGTATTAAATAAAATAATATATTTTAGATTCTATTAAATTAAAATAATGAGGGATTTTTTTATTTAAATGTAAATTTTATGATGAATCATATTAGAACATATCCTCATATTTTAGGATAACCAGCTAAAAGCAACGAGGTATGAATTCTCTTAAAGAATATATTAATGAAAAATTTAATGTAAAATATTGATTAGTAATAAAAATAGGAAATGGAAAAGATTTAAGAGCAGAAATTATTGAGATCATATACTAATTTCACAGCATCGTAATTTAAAAGTTGAAGGAATAATAACTTTTAGAGGACTACGAAAAGTTCATGTTCAGAAAGTGAAGAGTCATAAGAGAAAAAGAAGGATGAAGGTAAGAACAATGAAAAATTATAGATAATATTAAATAAGATTTAGTTTAATAAATATTAAAATATCTTGTGTATTTATTATAAGTAATTTAAATAAAAACTTGATATTTTATCTATAAAAAGGTCTAGTTGATAGGAAAGTATTTATGATATTTACTAATTAATTTTTTCATTAATCATAAATTTTTGGTTCTCATGATGATTCTGAATATATTGAACAGAAAAAGTCTGAAAAAGATAGTAAGGAACATAAAAATTAATTAATTATTATTAAAAATATACAAAAAAATTTTCAAAAGTTATAATTACTTATATTATATAAAATAAAGATATTGGACTAAAAATAATGAATGATGAATAATTTGAAGAATTTGTAAACATATTAAAAGATAAAAAAATATTAAATCACAAAATATTAAATAACTTAAAGATTTTTGGGTTAAAAAAATGAAGAGAAAAGTTAATAATTTAATAAAACATTCAGAATGTTTAAGTATATTTTTATTATTTATAATGAATACTTTTTGAAATAATAATATGTATCTTATATTTAAAATGTAAGAATAACAAATACTAGATGGCATCTAAATTTTATTAATATAATTTACTTCGAGCACTTAGAGAACCTGAAAATTTTAAGTACATTAAAGAAATTTGAAATAGAAAATTTTTAATATATATATTTATTCATAATTTTCATACATGTTTAGGGAAAGAAGCTTTTACTGATTTAGCAATATTTTTTAATCCTTTTTTTCATCCTCATTATTATTACGGTTTTAATGTATATTTCAAAAGAACATTTCCTATTGATGCTTATTATTAACTACAAAGATATAAAATATATCTATTTTATTTTGATTATAATTTTTAAATTGAACACGACAAATTGGATTCTATTATAATAATTATAAAATACCTTCACATGCTCTGTAATAATTGGAGTTCTCATAAACATTTATTAATCTTTATCTTTATTTTATACTTCTTTCATTTTATTAGTTGCCTACATAACAGGATATTTAATAGGGGAATTTGTTAAGTAATTCATTCTTAGGATATCAAATTTAGCTGTCTCTATAACAAATACTATTAATTTATTAGATTCTAACATTTAGATCTGGTTTATCACAAATATCTTCATCATTTCTGATGAAACATTCCATCCATACCTGTAATTCTTTTCTTTCTTAAATATGTTTTAATAATTCAAAAGCTGGTGGTGGTAGTTGTTAACCTGTTAATTAGAGATGAAAAACTAATCCAAGAGAAAAAATATCACAAACACTATCATAAGTTTTTGTCATATTAGTAATATTTATAACTTCTGTAGCCATAAATTAAGAAGTAACACATCTACAAATAAAGATAAATTGGAAATTTTACAAAAATAGCTAAATCAAGATCGGCTATTCACTGAATTTATATCTTTATTTTCAATACACTTTTTGAAAATGCCTTAATTGCCATTTATTATCCGTCTTCTATTCTTTCTGCTATAAGGAAGACTTGTTAAATTTCTTTAAAAATTTCTTAATCACCATCGAAATCCCAATATTTTTTCCTTTGTTTCACTTTGTAATCTTATATGTAAAATGTCACCTAGAGTCTATACATCTTCTGGTTTGACAATATCAATTCCATTAGAATGATTAGCACAAAGGAATAGATTTTTTTTTAAGATGCATTGGCTTTCAAAATTGAAGCATCTCTAAATATTTCAAATCTAGTAGTAAAATCCAAAGATAGTAAGTAATTTATGAACATATTTATTTTTATCCTTTTCTATATAATACTGATGAAAAATAATATATGTTTCTCAGTTATTACTCAATGTCTTTAATGTTTTTTTTCCTAAATTTGTTACTACAGCATCAAATTTAAGTTTTTGTAATACAAAATCTTAAGGCACAGCTTACTATAATGATCTTTATTCTACTTATGTTTATTACTATAACATATAATTAAATATATACTTAAATTTTCAAAAAAAAATGAGTAAATTTTATTACAATAGATTTTGTATAAATTAAACAATCCTACTTTTATTATTATATTATAAATCAAAATCTTAAATAAAATAACATGAATAAGATTAAATTCTATATAATTAATATTGAAAATATTATTAATATAAAAACTAAATAATATATATAAAATTTAGAATTTTATATCTTTTGAGTATTATAATATATTATTTTTTATAAAATTAACATATAAATCTTTGGTTGAATTTACAAATTACAGTTTAACATATTAAATTGAAGAAAAGGATGAATAATAAGATTAAGATGAATTTTAATATAGACGACCACTATAAAGATACAAAAATTTTGGATCTCTTAGAGAAAAAATAAAATCATGAAGTGAAAGTTTAGATGAAATGAATTATGATTAGAAACCAGTTTCTTAGGCTGAAATTTCATTATTAATTGATGATAGAATTATTTAAATTGATTTAGAATCTTAAATGAAATATTATAAATCTGTTGATATTGTATTATTTATAAATGTAACTACAATAAACTTTGCAGCCAAAATTTCTTAATCAATTACTAATATTTTTGTAATCGTAGGTCTAAAATAACGAACTTGTATATGAAATATTTTTCAGCCTTTTAAGAATTATGTTTATGGACAGATTATCCAATTAAATTTGTTGTTTATAATCTCTTTGATAATTTTTTTTTATTTTAAGATGAATTAACCTATTTTAGATTAGTATATGAAATCTAAGCATTAAAATCAATTCCACGAAAAAAGATGTTTTTATATTTTATTAGCACCGCATCTGTCATTAATTTAGTTATTAAATCATAGCATTAAGAAGATATTTTTGGATTATACGGAAATTTAAAATGATTCTTACATTTTAATATTTTTTAACCTGTTTTTATGGAGTATCACTATAAAAATGAGAATATCCAATAAACAGTGTTATTCATATAATAAGGAAGATCAAAATCTGATAATTGTAAATGACCTTATGCATCAATTAATATATTATCGATTTTATATCTCTATGAATATAATTCATAATATGAATTTCTTCTACTGCTAAAACTAATTCAGCTGTATAAACTTTTGCATCTCTTCCTGAAATAATTTCCTTTAATTGATAAATTATCAGATCTTTTTTTTCTTTTTTTTTATTTTAACTATTTCATTTGTATCTTTTTTATCTACAAACCCTTACCCCTCCAAATGCTCTTCTTCCTATTATTATTATATTAACTTATTTTTAAACTACATAGCATCTTTGTGTTAATTTTCCTTTTTATCAATACTTATTCAATAGAAATAAATTTAATGTTGTAATACTTATTACAATTACTCCAATTTTACATTTTCTCTCTCTCATTTGTAATTATTCTTTTATATTTCCTTTCTATATAGGTTTATATGCAACAGCCCTATTATAAATATTTGTCTTTTATCTGTAAATAAATATAATTAGATAAATAATTCATAAACTAAAGGAAGATTGTGTTTTTAGTTGAAATGTCTTCTATAATCTTATTGTAAGTAAAATAATTTATTTTCTGATCTTCCTTCAATCCTTTAAACTATAAATATATATTTGTAAATAATAATTACGATATATATTAATTATCATAGTATATTAAAGTATTCTTTTTGGAGTAATGAAATTATTGTGTTTTATATAAATAAAAATAAATTGAATTCTTTAAGATATCTATTCTTATTTTTGGATTTGTATTATTAATCTATTTATTAAAAAATAACATATTAGTAAATTATTTATTTTAATATTTCCAAAATTACTTTGATTATGGAATGCTTAGAATAATAATAATAATAATAATAATAATATTGAATGGTATAATTCCCCCGTTCATTTTTCGACATAGGGGGGTATGTCTGTCCGATTCTTCCCTCTTTTATTACATTGGCTTCCCGGAATGGTTCTTAAGGTAATTAAGAAAGGATCAAGGTAATACGGGGCAGTCCTATTGTCCACATCAGTTTTCTTTCCTCTTGGCACTGTCAAAAGTTGGTACGAAGACACTTGTTCATCGGGGTATCTGACAAGATGGAACATTCTAGAAGGATCGAAAAGGATGATCAGTGTCTGTTAGCCTGTCGACACCCAAGGGTTTTGGAGTACTTATGCTCATACTTCCTCCACAACCTTCATCCGAGCTTCTTTCAGTCAGAATTAATCCATCAAATATCCAGTCCTTCCTTCACATTCTTGGTCCTGAAGTACTATGAAAAGACCTGGAAATGTTAAAGGATAAAAATTTTTAAAAACTGTATGAAAACTTTAGCTAAATAAAAGGAATAAATTGGAATAATTGGGATGATTGAAAATGCTATAATTCACTTTAGCCAGAAGTTTACTCATGTTAAAGTGGAATAGATTTAATGTAAGTTGATAGAAGATGTAAGGAAATTACTTATGAAATTCAGAATATGTCACCTCATTATTAATTATAATTATATATAGATGTATATGGTAGTTTAGATTCTGATGACAATCTTATTATTAGAATAGATTAAAATATATAAATACCTTAATATGTTGGTAATAAATGATCGAAAAAAAATTTTTAAATAATCATGAAATATTATATGAAATTTAAATAAGATTTCATATTAAGATTACTTTATGATTCAATTATTGTTAATATTGTTCACAAAAAAAAATTAATTAATACTTTATCCTAATATTAAGAACTCAAAAAAGAACAGGTTAAAACTTCAAGATCAAAAATAATTATGATTAACAATAAATTGATAATTTTGTTTTTCTATGAGTGGTTGTGGATCCTAAGATTAGGGATTAGAGAATGAAAATGGGTAGATGTTTGTTGAAAATTTTATTATGTATAATTTATTAATCATATTATATCTTTTAGAAAATTTGTTACCAAAATTAAATTAATTTACATTTAGCTAGTGAATATGAACTTATTTGTCAACGCATCTCGAAAGCTCAAATTATGCTTAGTTTGATTAGTTCTAGCTTTAGATAACTCAATCAACCGTTCAAATGCTGGGCCCTGCCACTGCCACCCCTTACAGTGGAATATATAAAAGTGGAAGGTGGTATTTTAGAGCTTATACTAAATTGTGTACGATCTAATCACGAACTGAAAATTTAGTTAGAAAATTTAAAATTGAAGTAGGTATTCAGAGATAGAGGATGGAAATGAAGTATTAGCATTAGTAGCTCCTATTCCCTGGTTATCGGTTACTGCCTATATCTTAATATACACCTATGGAGGATTTAAATTTTTAAATCAAAATAAAGCCTAGGATTTAATAATTAAATTCTAGACTGAGAGAAAATCTATATATCTAAAATTATTATTATTATTTGTTACCAAAAGTCCATCTTATCATTGATAGACAAACTCACTTGGCTTTTTCCATCTTAACTATCTTTTTTCAATTTATTTAATAATTATTAATATTCTGATTCTAAGAATATATATCAAAAACAAGACCAATTTTTACTCTTTTAACCTATATTGATAACTTTTCAAATAAAAATTATACATCAATACTTCAATTGACATACTCCTATATTTCATTTGATAAATATTCGATTTAATAATTTATTCTAATTGTTATTTTTATCAGATAATCGACGATAAATCAATTTATATCTCTAATATTATTTTCATAATATGAAATCAATTATTTGGATCCGAATTACTATTGTCGACTTTTTTCTTCTTCAAATTTTCTATATTGTTGATCAATTTTTTAATTCCTTATAAATCTTTTAACTCATGTTGCATAGCTTTTAGATAAATAAAATTAATTAATCATATTTGATTTAAAAATGATCATCAATTATATGCTATAATGTATTATGCATTCGTATTATTAGTAATAAAAGAGATTTATGAAATTATCGGGTAAATTATTTGTCAATATTTCATCGTTTATAAATTATTAAGGCTAATCATCTACAGCTATATTTAGGTCTATATTTATTAGTTCCCGCTTTTTTAAATTTTTTATCAAGATTTGTTTAGCAAATTAAATTTACTATCATTTTAAGTTGGAGAAAGATGAGTTAAGAGTCTCGATTTTGACTTTATTGAGTATCTTGATCAGATTTGTGTTTCGGGTTGAATAGTGAGATATCAGCTTGACAGGAATTCATTGAGATCCTATTGAAATATAATGATTTGAATACATCAGGGTGCTAAATTATTCGTGTTTAATTAAACGCCAACCTAGGAAAGAAATGACTATTCACTCGCTGGCCTATGAAAGGCGGAGTATTACATTGTTAGTACGATGGACGAGTATCTGAATGAACGAATGGAGTAGGTTCTCTATTAAGATTGTTTTGCCATCACTGTGTTTGCGCTCTGTCAGGAAAAAAACTACTAAAGAAGCATACAAACTCAAAGAAGAAATATTGAGTGAACAGAGATGTCTATTTATTATTCTAATAAAGGAAATATTCGAAATATTCTGAATGTCTGAAATTTCTATGAACAAACTTTTATGATGATTCTGTGATAATTGTAGATAGAGTTTAATTATAATAATAGTAGCTAATAATTTTCTAATGTGTTCCTCAATATAATAATCTTCCTAAAAACATTTAAAGTCCTCATAAATTTCTCCCCTATCTATATTATTTAAACTCATGATTATCAACTTATGATTGAGACTTTTTTTGGTATGAGAGAAATAAAACTTCCTTATCCTTTTCTAACTTCTAATTATCATTTTTTAAGTTCTCTCATCATGAAGATCTTTTTTATAAATCTAAATGATTTGTAAGATTAAATCTAAAAGGCATCCATGTTCTTGCAAGTATAAAATTCCTGACATTAAATAATTGTTACATCTTTCTGTTATAATTTTCAGAAATAATTTTTATTTTAAACACATCTAATTTTTATATTTTATTTTCTGGCTTCTTACCTACATGATATATGGGTATCCTTAAAAAAAAAGAAGATATTTAAATCAGCTTAATAAATGATAAAATCAACTTGTCTAAATAATAATTATGCCATAAAGCTTAATTGCTATGTTAAGAGAATAAATAATAATAAAATCATTCAGCTCATAAAAGCACAGCCTTTTTTTCGAAAAAGTATCCAAAATTTCGAATAAATTAATATGACATAAATTCAATTCTTTTTTTTTATATTTTTCGCAGATGCTCTTCAATAATTTGAGTAAGGAGAAGTCAATCATTTCATCTACAGTTACAATCTTAATTTCATTTTACACACTACTACAACATAATTCAAAGAAAATAAATATTTATAACATTTGCAAAGGAATTTTTTGTTTCTCAATTATAAACATCCTTCATTTCAAATTAAAATTATTAGAGATTTATTTTTTTGCAATATATTCAACAAATTTTATAACAAATATGATAGAATACACAAACAAAATTTATGAAAAATTTTTATTGAAGAAATTAAAATTGCAAAAGCAAAAATTATAAAAAAAAGTTTGTATATTACCATTATGCAGAATTTATTGAAAAATTAATGTAATTTAAATCAAAAGTCTTTAAAGCTATAATTATTAATAAAATAATATTATTAAATAAATTTATACAATTAAAAAAAATTCATAAGCAATTACAATATATTAGAAATTTTTGATCGAAAATTATATGGAACTTTCTAGATGCATCTTTTATCTACAGTTGGAACTTAAGTCTATAATTTAGAGATTTCATTAGTCTAGACTTATTTTACTTTAAGTTCAAATGAATAGAAAAATGATATAATTTTTAAATAGAAAATAAAAATAGAAATAATCGAATTCGAACCTAGGGAAATATTGATATATCTAAATTTAAACAATTGATCAATTTATACCAATCCTATTAATGTTCCTCAAAATGTCTATACTTAGTATTTCAAAGCTCGAATAAATAATCTCATTATAATATATTTGCAATCCTACTTAACAATCTTATACATAGAGATCGCTTAGAAATCTTCATGGCTCTAATTATTATTAAGAATAATATTTATTTTAAAAAAATCAATATCAACATTTTTGAAAAATAAATAACATATTCAAAATCTAATTATAAATTTGAAGAGCCTAATATAATAAGAATAGTTTATTTAAAAGTTTTCACATCTTATTGTATATATTTTATGCAAGAAAAAATCATAAAATTTAGTCAAATTTTACTTAGAAAATAATAACATTTCTTAAAATTTATATATTAGAAAATAACAATCAATAAGAAGTCGTATTATAATTAATATTTTATAACTCTCAGAAAAAATAGTTGAAATTTCTTCATTTTTCTTTTCTAATAATTTTAATAAATGATAACATAAGGAATCAAGTTATAAGTTTGCACATGCTTGCAACCTTTTGTCTATTATGATTACTAAGAATTATGCTACTTTTCCCCTTTTGAATTCAAATAATATAATGAAACAAGATCTTTAAATTCATTAAGAGGAGGGGGATTTTGTAGCTCAAAAATCCAAGATGGAACAATTGTAGATGTTAAAATATTAGAAAAGATAAAAATACCATTATATTTTTTTCCTCATCTAACTCATCATTCTTTAAATATTACAGATTATAAATCAACTAGCCCAGACATAAATAAATCGATAAATTCAATCTAATGGTTTCATGATCATTAATAGCATTTTAACTCAATTTGTTTTGAAGATTAAACTCTCAGATGTTCTTATAATTAGATCGAATCCATAATTGAATCCCTCTTAAAAGTCATTCCATTTTATGTCAAAGAATCTGGGGCTATTTTATTATCTTTATTACATATAGTAAACGATTTATTCAGGATAATTTTCACATATTAGATTAAAAATACCGATCATTAAATCCTTCTAGAAAAAAAGAATAATTATTAAACTTACCTAAGAGAAATAAAATAAGAAATAGAGCAATAGAATGAAAGCTTCTGGAAAACTGGTATTGAATTTGAATTACAGATGATAAGCACCGTTATAACTCACCTAAGAACAAATTCAGATAAAGGTAAAGAGATTGCTTTTAAAGTCTTAACAGAATTAATTACTTCTTTTGGTGGCATGAAATTAAGCGAGGAGTTCTTATCTGCTATCAAAGAAGCAGGACTATTTCTTTTAGAAACATTTTATGATCACATAGAAAACCCCTTAGAAAAATATTAAATTTATTATTATTTCGAAAACTTAAGATGGAAAATTATATAATATTTAGAGAATTAATATCCATTAAAGAAGATCATTACATTGTTATAAGATAGCTATAATTAATATATTTTAAATTCTTCTGATTGGAACATTCATTATTGTTGGATTAATATGATTTCAGATTTAGTTTCTTATCGTCCTATAATCTCAAAATCAAATTTATAAAAAATAAATCCATATCCCAATAACTTAATATGTAATTGGGAAGAACTTATCGAAAATAAGATGATTTAAATAGTTCCATATAATAAATAGGAAGCTAAATTACAATTATTTTCTTATGATAATAAAAATTTAACTCAATTTTTATAATCAAATTTGAAAGAGTTGAAATAGTTTTAAGAATTTTTAATATCTAACCCTTTAATTCAAAAAAATGTTTGTAAAGTAATTTCTGAAAAGCCAGAAATTAAATTATGGAATTATTATCTAAACTTTGAATTCAAGAAAAATAATCAGCCTTAAACTTAAATAGATTAGTTAATCTCATTTTTATCTAGTTTGGAAATTTCTAAATAGATTCATTTTTTGATTTAACTTTATGAAAAGCATGTAAATTAAACAATCAAAGTTTATGAAGAAAAAGTAGGAGCAATAGAAAACTTAAATAATATTAAAGATAACCAATAATTTTCAAAAAAGATAGTTGTTGAAGATATCAAAGATTTGTTACGCTAATGTTTATTAGAATTTTCATAAATTATATATATAATTTTTTTACTTGAATAGGGATTCAAATTAGAGTACAATAAATTAAAAGAATTTAGTAAAATTTTATCAGAGGAATATCAAACAAAAAAGGAATATTCAAAATATTTTGAATCTATAAAATCAATTGATTAATCAATTAAGAGTATTAACATATCTCAAATATGTGAAAAAATCATTAAATGCCATGTTGATTTGATGAAAGATGTCAGCGAAAATTTAGTCTAACTGCTTCTATTCTCAAGCAATCAATAATATTCAATTAGTTCAATCTAAACTTAAGATTGGAGTGATAATCTTCTTAGTTTAAAAGAAGAATTCTAAAAAGCAGGATAAGAATTTTTAAAAGCTTTAAACTTAAACAAATAACTAATAAAATCAATTTAATTGAATAATACTAAAGTTGAATGTCACTTTAATTGTAAAGAATTGATAAAGTTATTAAAAGATTTTCATAAAACTAGTTTTATTTAATGTTATTAAAAGTTTTTAGTTTCAAAGGAAGATATCAAAAATAAATTGGCTAATAATGATTATTAGATTATATGTGGACAGTTAGAATTTTAAATACATATATAGAAAGTAATTAAATAATTACTAAGATTGTATTAATTTTAAATAAATGTATTTCAAATAAAATTCTCCTTATTTACTAATTAAGAGGAGAAAGATATGATTGAAAATAACGAAAATAATTAACTTTTAGTGAATGCTCTCTAAATTATACAAAATTAACAATCAACATTTTAGTAAGAATATTTTAATTTAGTGAATGAAAATTAAGGAAAGCATTTATCAAAAAGTTGTAAGAAATTAATTCAATAAGTATTTTCAGAACAAACCAGACTAATTTAAGAATTTAATTAAGAAGAATTTAATTTATATTTATTCAATTTGAACGATATTTAGGCGAGACTCTTGGAAATAAAGATTTAAAAATAGGTATCTAAGGAAACTTTAGATGATATTATAAATGGCTACAATATTTTAAGCTCTGCCTTAACATCAAATATTAACATTTAAAAAGAGGAAAATAAGTTAAAGAAGAACAATTAAGGCTTGTTTACATCCTCTTTTGAGACGATAGACAAATTACAAAGTTGTTTGAAAAAATAAATTTAAATATTAAAAAATGTAAAAGATTATGTATTTTTAAAATTAATGTCAAACAAATTTAAAGGAGAAAATTAAATTACAAGCATAACAAAATTGGATAATTATTTGGAAGAGATGTTAAACTAGTATGAAGATGTATCAGATAAAGAATCCTTTAAAGAATTAAATTAAACAGATAAGATGCAATCAACAAATAATAATTCTAATTCACAAAATTCATAATTGTGCTTAATTTCTTTGAATGAAAAAAATAATGAGTAATTATATTATAAATCAAAAATTCTGTTCCTTTTTGAAGATTGTAGCTTTTTTAAATTCGACTCTGACAATGAAATTTTATCAATAAAAATAGACCAGAATTTTAAAATAATTATAAAAGAATTATAAGAAGGAACGAAAGATGTACTTTTGAATTCAATTTTAAGTAAATTTTAAAATAAATCATATAAAGTTAGAGAATCATTATTTTTTAATTTGATAAAAATGTAATCAAAATTAAAGGAAGAAAATGTAAAAGCATTTTGTTAATAATGTATAAAGGAAATGTGGATTTCTGAAAAACATGTTAATGTTAGATAACTCATAAAAAATAAAGAATTTATAGAATAATAAAAAAAATTATTTTCGACAAATCTTTAATCTTTTTCTAGTTAACTTGAGAGCGAATTTAAGATAAGAATTCAAAGAATAGAGACCTTAGAGCAATAAATTAGATTAGAAGGAAAATCTCATTTTGGAGAATAACTAAATAAGTAATTAAAACTAGAGTTATAAAATTTTTAAGAATCTTTTGAAAATATTACTGAAATGTCTAATAAACTTGATTTGAATTTAATTTTTTTAAAAGAAATAGTTAAGGATTTAAAATAAATTAAAAGCAGCATTGAAAAACTTTATGATAATCTTTAAGAATTTGGTAATGATCTCAAATAATTAAGAGGAAAGAACTTTAGAGAATTATTAAATATTAGAAAATATAGAGTTTTAGATTAAATAAAGACATAATCTTTAGATTAAGTATATATTGAATTGCATACAAAAGAATATAACCCTCAAACAGGAGATTAAATTCCAACAAAATAGGGAAAGGAATTTTCTATTTTAATATCAAACAAAGAAGATGGAAAGGATGCTGAAATTAATGAATTTTTATGGGTAGATAATAATAAAGATGTATTGTTATTAAGAGGTTAAGCAGGATCAGGTAAAAGTAAAGCTGCTACTAAAATTGAAGAAACTCTTTGGGAAATGGAACATATTAAACCTAATTGGAAACCAATCTACATATCACTACCTGGATTAAAAAATCCAACACATAATCTTATTAAAGAAGCTTTGGAATCTGAATATTACCAATTTGATGGTAATTAAATAAAAGAATTTAAGGATGAAATATATAATGGTAAGATTAATTGTGTTTTTATCCTTGATAGCTATGATGAAATGAAGCAATAATTTATTCAAGAAAACATTTACAAAACAAATAGATTTAAATAAGAATTTAATATTGATAATCCAGGTAATAAAATAAAAATAATCATTACAACAAGAAATGAAATTTTAAATTAAAAAGGATATCAAAACTAATTCTTGGCAGAAAGTTTAGATTTTCTTAAAGAAGTAGAAATATAACCTTTTAATTAAAATCAAACAATTAAATATATTTAAGAATACTGTTTATTGAGTGTTAAAAGGAAGATTGTTAATTGTTATGAACATGCAAAATAAATTCAAGGATAACCAAAAGATAGAGAAGAAATAATAGAAATTTGTCGTAAAATTGAGGATAATTTATTTGGAAATTAATAAAAATAAAATGAATAAAACTCTGATACAATGTTAGATGTTTATCTTATTGACAAGATAATTGAAATATTGAAGACTTAAACTTGTTTCTCATCTCTAAGCAAAGAAGTTTTTATTTATTTGAGAAAAGAATTAAATGATTTGTGGAGTTAAAATAAATTTATTAAAACTATTGAAAATTTGTAGATAAAAGAATTATTGTAAACTCCTTTTATGATGTCAATTATTGTTTAAGTTTTACCTCCTATGGTAAATTAATCTTTCAATAATGACCAACTTCTAAAAAATTTTAAGTAGAATTATATGAAACTTAAATTAAAAAAACAAACATCAAAACAAATGATAAACTTTATAAAAACATTAGATAAAATATAATTTAATCCGCCAATTTTTTTTGAATAAAAAGAGGATAAATTATTGGAACAAAATTAAGAGATGGAAACACAATATAAGTTAATACTACAAAAAATGGAAGATAAAAAATTTTTCTAAAATTATACAATAGCTGAAAAATTAGACTATGATAAAACTAACATAATTTTTAGTAGAGGAACTATTGATATTGGTTAAGAAGATACAGATCTTGTTTATTAAGCACTAAAAATGCAAAGAATGAAAGTAACAGATTTTTATGAAAGTTTTATCAATTTTTATCATTAATAATAACTTTAGAAATGGAAGGATATTGGAAAAGCTTAAAATTATGAAGGATTGATTATAGATATTGAAGAATTCTCAGAATCACTTGCATTAGAAATGACATAAAACTAGTAAGTTTAAATTATTTATAGACCAAAAGGTAAATTAAAAATGAAAATTTAATAAAATTAAGGATTGACAACCGAAAATTGGGAAGATTAATATTTTGATAATTTCTTAGGAGATTAAGAATATAATAAAATATTAAAAAGTTGCATTTTGTTAACAGCAAAGGGAAATTCCTATTCCTTTTTGCATAAATCAATTTAAGAATTTTATGTTGGAAGATATGTATTGAGATTTTTAACAAAGATTTTTAAATTAGATATAAATAATGATTAAAAATTGATTAAAGAAAGCCTTATGAATTAATAAACTTTTAATTTATCTCAACCTTAATATTAAGGAATGATTAAGTTAATAAAGAATAATCTTACATTTGAAAATAACTAATTATCAAATATTGTAAGCATAATTTAATTGACAAAAAAAAGTTCTGAATACATATGCATATGTTCAAACTTGTTTTTTATTTTAAGTCTTTGTGGAACTGTTTTAGAGAATGAATAATTAAGTAATATAACACTTGCTAAAACAAATTTATAAGGTATTACTTTCTATTAATGCAATCTATCTGAATCAAAATTTTATAATGTTAATATAGATTGCTGTAATTTCAATAATTCATAGTTAAATGGTGTTGAATGGATAAATATAAATTGTTAGGAAAAACCAGCTTTAATAGTACCTGAAAAATAAATAACTGCATTATAATATTCAAATTCTTAACAAATACTTGTATCAGGAACTAATGATGGTTAAGTAATATTTTGGAACTTAGAGGAATATAAGATTATAATGAATAAATAAGTTAATATTGGAGAAATAGACTAGTTAAAATTTTATGATAATTATTCACTATTATTATGTTCATAGATTGATTTGATAACTCTATGGAATATTAAGGACCTGAAGAACATAACTTTAATAACATCACTAAAACCGGAAGAAAGACAATTATAATATGATGTATCTCTAACACCTGACTTTTAGTTTATTCTTTATGTTGGAATGATTAAGCAGGATGATAGAAAATAATATTGTGTTTATGTATGGGATATATATAATTAGTATCAAAAAGAAATAGAAAAAGATGAATACAATTTAAACTTTGAAATTGAAATAGCAGAATTTTCAGATGATGAAAAAATGCTAGCTGTTGGAGGATTTGAAAAATTTATTTTGTTTAAAATTGATGAGTAGGATAAATTAAAAGAAGTTTGTTCAAAATAATTAAAAGATTTAAAAGTTCAATACATTTAATTTTAAAAATAGGAAAATGAAATAGCTATAGGAGAAATAAATGGAGATTTGTTTTTATTTCGATTAATTGAAGAAACATAATTGCAACTATACAAATAAATAAAAATATATCAGGATAGAGGGACTAGAAAACTTTCAAAAGATTCTAATTATTTAATATTATAAATAGGGTAGTATGATTGTGAGGTTTATAAATTATCAAATATAGTGAAAGATAATTTATTGCCAGAAAAAAAAATATTAGAAACTAAAATAAAAGAAATAATTCATATTTGTTTTTGTCTTATAAAATAGTATTTTTATATTGCTTAAGAAAATAAAATATCCATCAAGAAATTATTAAATATGAATTTATTAGAAGATATTACTGAGCTCAAATAGGATGAAGTAATTACACATATTTTAATATCTCCTAATGGTTAACTTTTAGTAATAGGTCATATAAATAATGAAATTTCTTTATGGGAAACTTAGTCATTTTAAAAAATAAATACCATAATAGTAGCTAAAAGTGCAAAATTTCAAAGTTTTTCATTAAATAATTAAAACTTGTGCTTAATTTTCTAAAATACATCTAAAAAGAATTTTTTAAATACATCTGTTTGGGATGTTTCTGACCCAGGTAATATTATTTTATTAAATACTTTTGATAATATTCAAATTAACTTATCACCATTTGAAAAAAAAAATCATTAAGTAATGTATAGTCACTGGATTCATTAATATATGAAAATTTTGAAAATAATTTTTAATTGGAATGAGATTAAAAATATAAATAGAAACTATCTGTCAGAAACATTATATTTTGGATATATAAATGAATCTATTTCTTATTAGATTGATTCAGAGTAAGTTAAATTGGTAAAGATTGATAATAGTGGTGACCCAAATGATATACAAAAAATATAGTGTTAAGCTAAAAAAATTTTTTGTTCTGAAGTTTTGATGATTATTCAAGAAGTCACTAATTTATTATTTTTTGATATCAAAGATATTTTACATGAAAGTCATGCATTTTTAATCTACAAGGAATACTCTATTTGCGATTTAATTCAAATTTTTTGTCTTGATACAGAAAAGTTAATATTTGCATTTTGTTATTGTAATGGAACAATTGAAATTAAGGATTATTCATTTATATCTTAACAATTTTAAACCAATAAGTACTTTGATTGTAGTTCTTTAATTATAAATAATACTTAATTAATTGCTGGCAAAAACAATATATTATGTTATGATTTGAAGACCTTTTCTAAAATTAATACTATAAATAGTTATAGTTATGATTTAAATTTACGATAATCACAAGATAATTCTATTTTAGTAGCCTATTGTAATAAAGATTTTTGGATAATTAAGTTTAATGATAAAAATGATGCAACTCACCAGATGCATTCATTAAAGTATTTGAGTGGTAAAATTCAAAATCTGATTTTTATAGATAATAATCACTTTGTTACAATATTAAATAATATTGATATTTATATTTGGGAAATTGGTGAATAACTATAAATTAAGCTGGAGAAATAGTTTGTTTTTAATCAAAAATTTAATATACTTAATTCTAAAAATATGGTCTCAACCTAAAATATTAAATTATCCTTTATAAAATATAAAAATTAAAAAGGTTTTTTGAAAAATGTTTTGAATGATTTCAGTAATACAAAATTTCACATTTTTGATTTAAGAAATAAGGAGGAAACAGCTTTATTTTCTGGATATTATTTTACATTTTATAAAAATAGGATTCCATACAAATAAATACAATTGGATTAATTAGGCTACTAAAATGTTATTGATAATCAAGTGAAATTATTATCAAATAATTAAACTTTAGTCTTTACAACCAAAAATAAAAATATCGTTTTTTATGACATGATATCCAATAGTAAAACAATAGAATTTATAGGGGAATCATTCTGCTTATCTTAAGATGAAAAATTATTGATTACAAGTTAAAATAGATAAATTTTATTGTATGATTTATAATCAAAAAGCCTTATAGACAAATTCGAAGGCCATTAATCAAAAATTACATCTCTTTCTATTTCTTCTGATAATCATACTTTAATTTCAGCTTCGCATAATTAGGAGATTAAAATTTGGAATTTATAATATTAAAAGTAAATCTAGGAATCCAGTGTTCATGATAAATTAATCTAAAAAGTAAAATTTTCTTAAGATGGTGGTATTTTATTCTCTAATAGTGATGATGGTACTTTAAATATTTGGAATATAGAATAGAATAGGTTAGAATCATCTGAAAAAAGTCATTTTAATTTTGATTATAACTCAAAAGAAGAATTAATCGTATCTTAAAAAGATGAAACTAGCAATTTCTACACTTTGTTTGATTTACATTTTAAAGAGCTCAAGCAGTATTTATGTTTTGCAAAATGGGATAGATATAATACAAAATTATCAGTTTAAATTAATTAATTTATTCTAATATGGAATCTAAACTCATTGTAAGAAAATCCTGAGAACATTATAAGAACCAATAATGATCTATATAATTTTACAGAAGATAGCTCTTACATTTTTTAAATTAATTATGATTATGTTACCTTTTATTCTATTAAAAATTAAGAGCAATCGCATAAAATGACAACTAATTTATTGAATTGGAGAGAGATTTGTTATGGAGTAAGAATCGATGAATCCATTAAGCTATTATGTTTTACTTCTGAGAATATGCTAATTTTCAAGAATTAATTGATTATAGTGGATTATGGGTGTGGGTAACAATTAAGAGCCATTTTTTTTGAAAATATATAAAATTCTAATAGTTTTATGCCTTTTTATGAAGGTCAGTGTTTCTGTATTTTTAATAGTCAGAAAATTATTTGTATCGGAAATTAATCATTTATATAAACAAAGATTGATATCATAGATTATAATTTACATAAGAAATTGAAATAAATAATATTAGATGATAATAATCTCATAATTTAAATGATAACTTCAAAAAGAGATGTTTATTTGTCTTATATTTTTTAGAAGAGTAATACAATAGAAGTGATAAAATATCCTTTAGAAAGATGCTAGCTATTTAAAATTAAAGGAAAGTAGGATTCTATTATTCTTCTTTTAGAGTTTTCATGTCAAGAAGAAATTTTGATTTCAGGTCATAGTGATTAAACTATTCAAATTTGGAATGTTGAGCTTTAGATTTAATTTTACTGTCTTGATGGATTGAATTAAAGTATTAGTTCACTTTCAATATCTCCAGATGGAAGTAAGTTTGCAGTTGGCTTTGATGATGGCACATTGACTCTCTTTAAGTTTTTCAAATAACAATATTCTTTGCAAAAGCTGAAAAATTAAATTTTGATATAAAAAAATTTTAATATTTAGATAGAAAATAACAATACTTCAAGTTAAGAAGATGTTAAGGAGACTGATATTGATATGGATATAGTTGGAGCAATATCTTATAAAACATTTTCTAAATAACCTCTAATTTAAGCCAAGAATTGTATAATAAATCCAGATTCTTCTATTGTAGATAATTAAGGCAAGTCTCTTATATAGTTATTCAAATAAAAAGGGGCATTGATGAAGAATAGTAGAAACAAATAATGATATAACATGAAAATTATTACATCAAAATATATTAATTATTTTTAGTTTGTCTTAAGTTTTGACAGATTTAATCGTAAAACAAAATATTGATGTGAACTTATTGAAGTATTCCATTCACATCTTTCTTTTGATTTCCCCCTTCTTAAAACAACTGGTGCTCCTTAAACTCTTTCAGGAGATCCTTTTTTATCTTTTAAAAACTTTCTTAATTCTGATTATATATCATTAAGATATGATAAATAATTATTTGATAAATCTATTAAATTTGTTCTTTATAAATAATTAAAGATTTAGACTATTTAAATTTTCAAATTTATTTAAATTGAAATATTTATAGATAAGTAGAGGTATTTAATAAAAAGAATAGGGTAAAACTGAAAATGATTGACTTTATCAATGTAATTTAAGAAGATGATCTTTTTTTATAAGTAGTATATTTAAAAGGTCAATTTAAACTAAAATAAGAAATGTAATTTATTAAATAAAAATGAAAATATCATTAACATAAAATTAAATTAAATTAAATTAGGAATAATAGGAGAGTAAAATGACTAGTAGAATAAATTGAGAATTTTCATTTATTTGATAAAGTAAAAAATATTATTACAGAGTCTTGTTTGTTTTACATATATCTCATGGTGATATAATTATATTTTCTGATTCGGCTAAATCATATGCTGCGGGGATAAATTAGTAAAATAAGAGTGATTCAATTTAGTATATATTAAACATGTATATTCATTTTAATGAATAATCTTCAAAGATAGAAATGAAAATGTGAAATAAAAATTAAACCAATTTCAAGAAATGCAAAATTATTAATAAATTTCAAATAAATAAAAATTTACTGATTCTCTGTTGAACAAGACATACTTAAATAAGAAATTTATTATAAAGGTTAGAGGATATTTAAAATTTAAGGGAACAAATTATATTATAAGTTAAAGCAAGGTTTAGAAATTAATTTAAAAGAATTTTTGGATTTATTTGAAATATTAAAATTCTACAAAATCTCAAATCATCATCCTCAGATTGAGTCAATCTTAATATT